CTCAGCCCCTGAGACCATGCTGATCAAAAGTTATTAAAAGCTTTTCTCTATGTCAAGGGGTGTGGCTACTATGACATTGCCCTCGCCACCAAATATGTTTGGCTTTTTGATGGCTTCAGCGACATCATATTCACATAAAATTGATACACAGGTCAAAAATGGCGAGTTCATACATCTGATAGGGGCATCGCCCATGGGGGGTGACAAAATGCCTCTATAGCGCCCCCTTGAAATTTTCAACATACCCTTCCCATAGGGGTTTTTTTTGGAGTAGGAAGATGAAACGTCACACCACGTCAGGGTTAACTTACTCTGTTTTCACATAACGTATGTGATGTGTGTAATGTATTGTTTTTGGTGCATTTATTATTCTTTCTTCCGCCGCCTCTTTGAGCTGGAATTTGACCCCCTAAACATGCTCAAAAACTCACCAAAATTGCCACGTATGTCAGACCTCGCGAAAATTTTTAGAAAATCAAAAAATTAACCCCTAAAGTGCCAAAATGGGCTCTCTAGCGCCACCTAGGCACACAAAAATGGCCGCTGGAACGTCGTAGAAACATGGAACCAAAACTGTCGTGTTCATCTAATCAAGACCTAAAAATCACGTGCTGACACCCATGACCTAAATCCAACAGGAAGTGAGCTATTTGCCCTTTCAAAGTAAGATTTCAAAACTGCTCTTCCTAAAAAAACATCTCCTCCTACACCGTTTATCGTAACGGCTTCAAACTTGCACACATTACAGATCAACTGGTGCTAATCAGATCTTCTGTATAACTTTTTCATTACTCAAACGGTTTGGATTTTATGGCCTCCTAAAGGTGAGATGTCAGAAAAATGTCCTGACGATCTTCGAAAGCTGTCCCATAGAAAAAGGAATGGCAGCAGGGGGGAGAAAGAGACCAATCTTTGGGCTTTTTCTAGCATTTACAGCGTCTCCATACTTTGTGATACAGAATCCATTCCAACTCTCAAATGTTGCCACAGGTCTCATCTATTCACTCATGTTTTCATCTTTTTCATATCTTTTACCGTTTTTCATCTGTGCCTCTCAAAGTACCATGAGCAAAAGTGGAGAAATTGTCAGTTTATAATGGGTGTGTATTGCACGGAATACTGTGAGCTAGAGTGGAGAGGGCTCTAAAAATCGTCTAAAACTTTTGTCTTTAACTCGCTGCCATGGCCACAATTTTCACTGTACAGACACAATTTATACCACAAAACGTAGGAAAATTTGTCCTGCTCACAGATATGTTGACATGGAATCTCTCACACGTACACATTTTTGCTGAGTGGCTCCAAAGCGAAGGGAGCGCTGATTTTTTTCTCATTCACTCCCATGTAAACTCAGAGGAGAAATTTCTGGAAACAGCTGGGGTGCAACACATTTTAAACTCGCTCCCCTGACCACATTTTTGACTCGAGAAATATAAAACGCGACACGTGCGTTCACGAGACGTGGCTGTCTCTCAAAATCACTTTATTTTCTTGCTTGGACCAACGGTTTGGGTATGCGAAGCATTTGTTCGAGGAGTTAAATCCCTTTATAAACAGCCTTTGGTGATCTGCTTTCCTGACGTGTCTGTGTCTGCCACAGGTGCGGGCAAGTCATTAATCGCCATGACAACGGCTGCACACACAGACACAGCCACAGGGTTCTCTGGTCTGTGTGTCTCACAATCTTTAAAGGACAGATTACAGCAGCAGAAACTTCATTTGAAACAGAACACACACATTATTAACCCCTACAGTGCCAAAATGGGCTCTCTAGCGCCACATAGGTGCACTAAACTGGCCACTGCAGCCCGTAGGAATGTCGTATCAAGATCAAACCAAAACTGGAGTGTTCGACCTACAAATAACACGCTAACACCCATGACCTAAATCCAACAGGAAGTGAGCTATTTGCCCTTTCAAAGTAAGATTTCCCCTCAAACGTGCTCTTAAAAAAAAACACATCTCCTCCTACACCGTTTATTGTGTCGGCTTTAAAGACGCACACATACCAGTTCAACTGCTGCTAAACAGATCTTCTGTATAACTTTATCTCTCTCATGATCACATTATTTTGATGATTGGACCAGCGGTTTGGGAATGGGAAGAACTTCTTCGAGGAGTTAAATCTCCACTAAAACAGGTCTCTCTGTGTTCTGTCTCTCTCTCTCTCTGCTCTTCTGCCAGGTGCACCTACTTCATCACCATGGCAACCGCTGTCACACACAAACTCACAGAAACATGATGTGTGTGTGTGTCTAAATCTTACATGCAGACATGACAGGGGCACAATCTCCATTTTAACCCTTTAGGTGCCAGAGTTTATTGAGGAAAATATTCCATTTTCATTTCAACATTTCAAAAGGCTGTGGCTTGAAAGTGGTGAGAGATAAAGGCATACTGTAAATGAGAAAGCTATTCATCATGACCCAAAGTTTGTCATGGGAGTAAATTAACTTATCTAATTTGCATATTGTGATGTCACTAGGCGGCAGCCATATTGGATTTGATACATCTTGGTAAAACAACATTTTGAACATATTTACACAGTAAATTTATTTTGTTTTGTGTTGTTTTTGTTGTCTCTTCCTCAAAATAAAGGACGAGGAATCTGATGGGAATAAATTCACTCATCTAATTTGCATATCGTGACATCACTTATCCATACCTACAGCTACAGAAAGCATTCAAACATCAAAACGTTCAGCTCTGTAAGGATTATCTGATGTTTGTGGCAACATGTTTGATATTTCTAAATAATTCATAGTGACGACATAAGCTGGGGGCCGAAACGGGCGCGAGTGCGAGGTCCCGCCAAACGCTGCTTGCAGCTTTAATTGTCATTATTATTATTATTATTATCATCATCATTATTATCACTATTATTAAATCCACTCGCCATCATTCAACAAGTCAGCTGCTGAGTGAATAAGACATATCAGACCTGTCAGTCTGCCTCAATCAATCAGTTTTATTTATAAAGCCCAATATCACAAATCACAATTTGCCTCACAGGGCTTTACAGCAGACGACATCCCTCTGTCCTTAGGACTAGAGTTCTCAACAGACCCAAAAATTCAACCCGAAACCGAAATGACCCGAGGGACTTGAAGCCCGAAACCGGCCCGGCCCGACATCATCACGTACATCACTGGGTCCGAGTCCGACCGAACCCAAGTTGTTTTTTTTTTAAATGGAAGGGGGGAAAATGATGCTCCCCCTGTGCGCCTCAGCAGTCTGGCTTCCCTGGCTCAAATACAGTATCTTTAATCACTTAGTCAACCAATCATTCATGTCCCAAAATAATATTACCAGACAGACAGGCCTCAACGTCAGCGTGGGGGAGAACAACCATTGCGCATCATGTAGAGCTGTGCAGCTGCATTTAATGAGCCGCAGCCGCTCTCAACACTTTTCCTGCACCTGAACGCTGACTGACTGACTGAACTTCGCTGACACTTCACAGCAGCATATCTTGTTTTAATATTATTATTTTTTTCGTCAGAACGGAATTCAGCATTCTTTATTTTTAGCCTATAATTCGCATATTCTTCTTGCTTAATTATTATAGCCCTATTATCATCCCCCTTACACACACACACAGCAGATGATACTTCAACTTCAACTTGAACACTTTATTAAAAACGGTAACTATAACCTTCAAATATCAACAACAACTCTCTCTCTCTCTCTCCACTGTCTGAGCCGGACTCAGCCCACCCCAATTAACTTAATTAGTCAGCCCAAACCGACCCGACCCGTCTGGCTTATTCAGGTCGGCTCGGGCTCGGGTTGAAATTGAGAACTCTACTTAGGACCTTCACAGCTGATCAGGAAAACTCCTCAAAAAACCCTTTAACGGGGGAAAAAGCGGTAGAAAGCTCAGGAAGAGCAACTGAGGAGGGATCCCTCTTTCAGGACGGACAGACGTGCAATAGATGTCGTACAGAACAGATCAACATAATAAATTAACAGTAATCCGTATGACACAATGAGACAGAGACAGAGAGAGAGAGAGATGCAGGACAGACATTAATGAAAGTAATAATATTAATTAATATTAATATTAATAATTAATATTACCTACAGGCTATTAAACATTATTCCACTCACATGACATGCAGGACAATTAATGATGGGCAAATGTGTTTGTGTGTGTGTGTGTGTGTGTGTGTGTGTTGGATGAAGGGAACTTAGAAAGGACTGTGCTTCAACCTTAGAAACCGATTATATTTTGGGGACTAGTGTATATATTTTAACATTTATTGTTACAAAATGTATTTTGATCTAACTTGGCTGGGTGAGCAATGTGGATAGGCCAGTGCTGCCCATGCCTGTTGCTGGCCTCGTGCCTGGCTGATACACACAACAACTCCTAGATGTAAAAATTAAAATGCAAACGAAAGTGTGCCGTGCTGGTAGTGTGGTAATAATGCAGTGCAGGGATGATGCTGATTCTAAAGTGACAGAATAATAGTTCATTTCCATCACTACTGAAATGCTTGCTTAAATTACTAGTTTATATGTTATGATAGTTGTTTAGGTTACTCTATTTTGTTTTATCTGCTTAGATAATGTTACATCACTTATCACATTATATCAAATATAGTCTGATAAACTGTTGTTTTTTGTCAGGTGTTAATCTATGAATTAAAGACCTGTCAACTGAATCCAGTGATGGATTTTGGTGACGTGGTGAACCACTGTCATACTGTACGGTCTAAGTCTCAGTAGATAGGCTTTTGAATATATGTAAGCATGAATGAAAAATAATTTCCACAACTGTGCATCACATTTATCCTGAGAACACTAATAACTTTTCTAGTTATTTTTAGATCTTTGCTTGTGCAATGAGGAAAATGAAAAAGCAGCTTGTTGTATTAACCATTGTTAATCCCCACTTTATTTAAAATGTTACCAGAAGTACTTGGTTAAGTGGCAGGAGTATCTTTGATAATAACAGAATAGAAGAATAATTATAATACTATCCTTGTCCATCACAGGTGGTGTATAAAAACAATGACATTCGACTTGAGTTGTCCCGCCTGGCTCGCATTGTGGACCCTAAGATGAAAATCCAGGGTGAGGTGTCCTACAAGTGTGAGAATGTGGCAACTCTGGACCCCATTTCTTTTGAGACTCCGGAGGCCTACATCAGCCTCCCAAAGTGGAACACCAAACGGATGGGATCCATCTCTTTCGATTTCCGCACAACTGAGCCCAACGGTCTCATCCTCTTCACCCATGGCAAACCTCAGGAGCGCAAAGATGCTGCCCGCAGCCAGAAGAACACTAAGGTCTGTCTGTTATCTCCAAGATTACATGCTAATTTCAACTCTGCTTTCAGACATGCCATCCTAATGACATCTGACATTATTAGGTCAAAGGCAACCAAACTTGCTGTTTAGAAAAACTGATAAAACCTCTTGGATGACTGGCAAGATGTCTTTAAGACAAAATTGCAAAGCCAGTTGCATTTTATACTTATATGACCTGCATGACTGAGAGCCTTCGCAGGCATCATACATCATCAGAATTTGTTTAGAGGAGTGGGTTCCAAATTGTTTGGCTTGTGGCCTATCGCAGTAAAATAATGTTTATTAATGACAGGTTGCATATGTCAATGAGTCACAGGCAGGCTCACTAGAGAGTAGTCTGGCTCACAGGATTTAGAATGTAGGAATAAACCTGTCATTGCCTGCCAATTTCAGATGATAACAGGCTTCCTGCATTTTATGTTTTGATAATCCACATCGCTACATGACACTCCACATTTTAATTTACTGCCGTGCATTAAGAAAACAACAGCAACCTCTGAACAAGTGATCCACATGCTAAAATATCCTTTTGCTTAATATTACATTTTCTGTTGTGCGGATTTAGCCATATTAATGTGAGGGCTCAACATCCAAATAGAAATGTTCCACCAAAACAAGTTCTCTTCCAACACTATTTTGCAAGGGCACAATCACTGCACCCTGGATTTGCCATTCAGGATGATTATGATTGGTTTAAAGAAATACAAACAACAGCTGTGTCCAAATACTTGGTGTAAAGTCAACCATGTTCTCGGTGGGCGTTGGCCTCCACCAAGGTTGTCCTTTGTCGACAATCCTGTTTGTGATTTTCATGGACAGGATCTCGAGTCTCAGCTGGGGGGAGGAAGGGGTCAAGTTTGGGGACCTCAGAATTGCATTACTGCTTTTTGCAGATGATGTGATTCTTTTGCTGTCATCACACTGTGTTTGCAGCCACGTGTGAAGCAGTTGGGATGAGAGTCAGTACCTCCAAATCTATGTCCTACTGGTAGGAGGCCCCGGGGTAGACCCAGAACATGCTGGAGGTATTTCATATTTCGTCTGGCCTGGGAATGCCTTGGGGTCCCCCAGGAGGGGCTGGAAAGCGTTGCTGGGGAGAGGGATGTCTGGGGTGCTTTGCTCGGCCTGCTGCCCCTGTGACCCAGCCCTGGATAAGCGGATGAAAATGGATGAATGGATGGATGGAAACAACCCAGAGCATTTTTTTTCCTTTAGTGCAGAATTATAATGGGTTCAGTCAGACCTTTCTTCACTCTTGGCACAGTGCGAGATAAGGTCTGGCTATGTTAGACTGACCACAGAGGGATGTTCCCTTGTCAGATTGTTTCATTCAAATGTTTTTGGGGTATGTAAATTTGTACAAATGTATCAGATATTAGACATCAGACATGTATTAGAATTTTTTTTCAATAGTTTTCACTCCTGTTAATCATCTCTTGACTACTTCATATTTATCTTGTGACCCTTTGAGGGGTTGTTTTCCCTAGGTGCTTCCACTGGTCCAGATAAGTGGACTTGTAAAATAAAGCCTGTACTTTGCCCTCACAATTAGTGCCATTATGATCTCACATCAATGTTTTTTGTTGCAAAATTTAGAAGTCAGATTTGTGATACTTAAACTGGAACTTTTCAATAACCGTAATTTGCTGATCTCTCTGGTTTAAAGTCTAAAGTCTGTTTTCCCTCTGACCATACTTAGCCATGTGTGGTCAGACTACAAACAAACTCTAAACTTTTCAATTTTAGAAAAGAAGTGTGCCCATACCCTATGGTGATGTCACACTGTGTACTTCTACATCACTGTAGCAACATGAGAAGTTCCTACCACAAGTTAGCAAAATAAGATTTTTAGCTGCTTTTAGGTTGCTCTTTAATGGCACACATTCAATACTGTATTGTATTTGTCACATGTCCAGCCTTTTCTTAGGTCTCAGTTTGCATGCCACTTTCCTGGAAATCAGTTATTCACAGACAAGAACCACATCTTGCATTTTTTTCTACAACAAAACTTTAAACCTTTATTGATTGCTAATCTTTTATTGATATGTTGTTTATTTTACCTTGTCCAGGTGGATTTCTTTGCAGTAGAGCTGCTGGATGGCAGCCTTTACCTTCTTTTGGACATGGGCTCAGGGACTATCAAGGTGAAAGCCACGCAGACAAAGGTCAATGATGGTGCCTGGTATCATGTGGATATCCAGAGAGATGGACGCTCAGGTCAGTTGTGTTGGTGAATCAGTAAGGTGTACTAACTCTAATAGAGTTTAAATCACCCTTTTCTTTACATTTTAAAAATCACATTTTTTTTTAAATTACTTGGTACAAGAATTGCCTTTACAAAAAAAAGAAATAGACCAAAGTCTTGACTTGTTGATGCTGAAGATTGGTTGACTTTTCTTAATAGCACAAATGTAAACAGCCTGAAGTCAGTGTTGGTATCAATGGTACTGTTGGTATCAATGCAGCCCTGTACCTAATCTCTACTCCCGCCATTCCCACCACAGGAACCATCTCTGTAAACAGCAGGAGGACCCCATTCACAGCCAGTGGTGAGAGCGAGATTCTGGACTTGGAGGGTGACATGTACTTGGGTGGGCTTCCCAATGACCGCACCAACCTAATCCTGCCCACCGAGCTCTGGACAGCGATGCTCAACTATGGCTATGTGGGCTGTATCCGTGACCTTTTCATTGACGGTCGGAGCAAAGACATCCGTCAGATTGCTGAGGCACAAAATGGTGCTGGCATCAAACCCTCATGCAACAAGCAACCAGGCAAGCAGTGTGAGAGCTACCCGTGCAAGAACCGAGGTGTCTGCAAAGAAGGCTGGAATCGATTCATTTGCGACTGCACTGGCACTGGCTACTGGTCACGCACCTGTGAGAGAGGTAAGTGCTTTCTTTTCTAGCACAAACCATATTGCATACTATCTTCAAGGCAGAGGTGATAATGTCTAAAACAACAGACACACTAGACGACTGGAGCAGCATGGGAGAGACAAAACAGTTATTGCAATGATAGTAAAGGTTTTATGGTTTCATAAAACATACAGTACAGGCCAAAAGTTTGGACACACCTTCTCATTCAATGCGTTTTCTTTATTTTCATGACTATTTACATTGTAGATTCTCACTGAAGGCATCAAAACTATGAATGAACACATGTGGAGTTATGTACTTAACAAAAAAAGGTGAAATAACTGAAAACATGTTTTATATTCTAGTTTCTTCAAAATAGCCACCCTTTGCTCTGATTACTGCTTTGCACACTCTTGGCATTCTCTCAATGAGCTTCAAGAGGTAGTCGCCTGAAATGGTTTCCACTTCACAGGTGTGCCTTATCAGGGTTAATTAGTGGAATTTCTTGCTTTATCAATGGGGTTGGGACCATCAGTTGTGTTGTGCAGAAGTCAGGTTAATACACAGCCGACAGCCCTATTGGACAACTGTTAAAATTCATATTATGGCAAGAACCAATCCGCTAACTAAAGAAAAACGAGTGGCCATCATTACTTTAAGAAATGAAGGTCAGTCAGTCCGGAAAATTGCAAAAACTTTAAATGTGTCCCCAAGTGGAGTCGCAAAAACCATCAAGCGCTACAACGAAACTGGCACACATGAGGACCGACCCAGGAAAGGAAGACCAAGAGTCACCTCTGCTTCTGAGGATAAGTTCATCCGAGTCACCAGCCTCAGAAATCGCAAGTTAACAGCAGCTCAGATCAGAGACCAGATGAATGCCACACAGAGTTCTAGCAGCAGACCCATCTCTAGAACAACTATTAAGAGGAGACTGCGCCAATCAGGCCTTCATGGTCAAATAGCTGCTAGGAAACCACTGCTAAGGAGAGGCAACAAGCAGAAGAGATTTGTTTGGGCCAAGAAACACAAGGAATGGACATTAGACCAGTGGAAATCTGTGCTTTGGTCTGATGAGTCCAAATTTGAGATCTTTGGTTCCAACCGCCGTGTCTTTGTGAGACGCAGAAAAGGTGAACGGATGGATTCCACATGCCTGGTTCCCACTGTGAAGCATGGAGGAGGAGGTGTGATGGTGTGGGGGTGTTTTGCTGGTGACACTGTTGGGGATTTATTCAAAATTGAAGGCACACTGAACCAGCATGGCTACCACAGCATCCTGCAGCGACATGCCATCCCATCCGGTTTGCGTTTAGTTGGACGATCATTTATTTTTCAACAGGACAATGACCCCAAACACACCTCCAGGCTGTGTAAGGGCTATTTGACCAAGAAGGAGAGTGATGGAGTGCTGCGGCAGATGACCTGGCCTCCACAGTCACCGGACCTGAACCCAATCGAGATGGTTTGGGGTGAGCTGGACCGCAGAGTGAAGGCAAAGGGGCCAACAAGTGCTAAACACCTCTGGGAACTCCTTCAAGACTGTTGGAAAACCATTTCAGGTGACTACCTCTTGAAGCTCATGGAGAGAATGCCAAGAGTGTGCAAAGCAGTAATCAGAGCAAAGGATGGCTATTTTGAAGAAACTAGAATATAAAACATGTTTTCAGTTATTTCACCTTTTTTTGTTAAGTACATAACTCCACATGTGTTCATTCATAGTTTTGATGCCTTCAGTGAGAATCTACAATGTAAATAGTCATGAAAATAAAGAAAACGCATTGAATGAGAAGGTGTGTCCAAACTTTTGGCCTGTACTGTATAAAGAAATGTGGGTTTGGTGAACACAGACGTTTAATAAGGTCTGCAGCGGAGCTTGTAATTTACATACAGCATCATGTGTAGTCTTCTCATACGACTATGAAATGCAGCTGACAGGGGGAACGCTAGCTTTTGCTGCCACCTAGTGGCTGGAAGTATTAATGACTCCCATCACTACACAGACACTATTCATCTAGCAACATTAAACTGCAATCTTGCAAACTTCAAGGTGTAACACAGTATTGTCAAACATGAACAACTTGTCCCTGTTAAAGTGTAACATTTTGATTTAAATTCTTTCTTCCAGTTCAGTTCCTTTGTTTTAAAGATTCAGTTTATCAGGTGCTTTAACATGACGCATAGGTTTTCTCAGCACAGGTAATGTGTGTCTGCTTAGTTGATCTGCTGTTATCTGGCACAGTTTGTGGTGGCTCAGCTGATGCTGTGACAGCTGGATCTTCTCCTTCTGTGTGCTCTTGCAATGTCTCTTGTGTTTTCAATAAACTCCTATGATTCCTCCTTTGACCACCCTCTGTTTTGATAATGTAGGATCTCTGACTTGTTTCCTCCAGAACCGTAGCTTTTTTACTCCAGGTGTGTCATGTCTGGCCAGTGGAACTTAATTCCTTAATAACTTGATATAGTTATCTACTTGTCTCTTTTGAAGATGTTTTAGTTTCTGTCTCACCTCTTTGTGCTTCTTTTGTCGTGCTGTGTAGGGGAGAGTGGTGTGTAGACTATGTCCCTTCAGAAGCTCAGCAGGAGACTTGCCATGTTACAGTGGTGAGGCTTGGTAACTCAGTAGAGCTAGATATGGCTCTGAGCTTATGTCTTGTGATTTTTCAAGTGAATGACGATGTGAACGGCTCTCTCTGCTTTACCATTTGACTGGACATACAAGGGCTTTGAGGTCATGTGTCAAAAGTCATACTCCTCAGCAAAGTCCTAGAACTCTCTGCAGCTGTGGCAGGGTCTGTTGTTACTAAAGACAACCTTAGGGATTCCATGTCTTGCAAATATTGACTTAATGAGTCAGATAACAAAGGTAGCAGACATGCTGGGAAGTAGTGCCATCTCTGGATAGTTTGAAAGACAGTCAGTCACCAGTAGGTCATTTTTACCTGGTGGAACAGATCAGTCCCAGCTTTCTGCTAGGGCTTGTCTGGTAAGTCTGTTGTTGCCATAGACTCTTTTGGCTGTTTTGCCTGATGCTTCAGATGGGTCTCACAGCTTGAAACCATCCTGTTGATGTCTGCGTTTATTCCTGGCCAATAAACAACTGTTCTTGCTTCCCTCTTGCATTTTCCCTGCCGAGGTGTCCCTGGTGCAGTCTTTTCAGCATCTCTGGTCTCAGTGACTGAGGAATGACAACACTGTTCCTTCTAAGCAGAAGCCTGTTGACAACACTCAGCTCTGCTCTGATGTCATAGTACTGTTGATATTCATCTGTAGGGCAACCCTCATTCAGATTCTTAATGACTCTCTGTGGGTATGGGTCTGTCTCTGTTTTAGCTGCGATCTGCTTGGATTGTATGTCAGATACGGGTAGTGATTTAGTGATCAGGGTCACAAAGAGATTCACATCAGTCTCTGTGGAGCTCTCACTGTGCGCTTCACTGTGTGTTGTGGCTCGGGACAGAGCATCAGCAAGCACAATGTGCTTACTTGGTGTGCAGATCAGGTTAAAGTCATAACGCTGTAGCTTTGTCTTTGGATTCACAGTGACATCTCGCTGAGATTTTTCTTGATGATGGCTATTAATAGCTTGTGGTCTGTCTCTGTTGGTAAGCCATAGACAGCTGTGGAATTTCTCAAATCCTTACACAAGTCCTAAACACTACATAACTTGAATGTAGTGACATTCAACTGCAGTCATCATTCTTGATGCGTAGGTGATAAATGAGCGATTTTGATAAGTCAGTGGATATCTTTGTCTTTTTGGATGGATCATAGCATGCTCCATTGGCTCCGTTGTGAATGTAGTTTTCAGCTGCAAATATTCTTTTTCATGACTTTCAGTCCAGTTGAACTTAAATTCATCATGCAACAGCTGTCTCAGATGTTTTTGAATGAATTTGCCAATGAAATTTATTATTGCCAGCACTCTTTACACAACTTTTATATCTTAAAGCCTGGGCACCTCCATTGTTACTTTCACTTTGTCCTTATCTCGCACAACACCTACTCCAGACAGCTTGTCTCCCAGATATGTGATTTCAGTCACACCAAACAGACACTGTGCTCTGTTTGACTTTAGTTCATACTTTTAGATGTGTTGCAGCACTTCAGTTAGCCTGTCATTGTACTGCTCCAGCATGGACCTCCAAAGCACAATGTCATGCACATACACCCAGATCCCATCAATGCCTTCTATGATGTGCTACATAATCTTGTGAAAGACCTCAGGAGTAGAGGAGATTCCAAAAGGCAGTCTCTGGAAGGAGTAATGGCCAAATGAAATATTGAATGTGCAGTATTTAGTGCTGTCTTTGTACAGCTTCAGCTGCCAAAATCACTTGGATGCATCCAATTTACTGAAGAACCTTTCACCTGCCATTTCACTTGTTATTTCATCCCTGGTGGGAATCTGGAAATGCTCTCTTTATGTTGGCATTAAAGTCTTTTGGACCCATGAATACACATAGATCACTAGTCTGTTTCTTGACGCATGCCATTGAGTCATCCCATTGTGTGGGCTCCTCCTCTTTCTTTATTACTTCCAGTGATATAATTTAGTCTAGTTCCTCCTTCAGCTTGTCTTGTAGTAGTACCGCAGCATGAGCAACTGGCTGGGCATCCTCTTTTTGCTGTATCTTATAGGTGAACTGCAGGACACCAAACACCTTTAAAGATGTCTGGATACTGGTTCACTATTGACATTATGCTGTTTGGTGCATTACTGTTGATGTGGTGAATCCCCTTCACATGCTTTGTCACCTAGCAGTGACTCATCCCTCTGGAACTACGGCAAACATAAGGTTGTGCCCTTTTTCTTTAACTATCACTTTAAGTCTGCATTTGCCTCAAGTGTTAATGGGCTGTCCATTGTAGGTTTGAGTGGCTCACAAATTGGATGAATGTGTAGCTGTGAGGGAAATTCTCTTCTCTGAAGAAGTGATGGACTCGGTGTGAGGAATCAAGGTTCTTTATTGCGTGCGCACGGAGAGAGTAGCAGGGTTCTCTGTCAACCTGAAGGATGCACAGACCTT